CTTGAGGCTCTGTCTCAAAAAAAAAAAAAAAAAAAAAACATAAAAAACCAAATTAGTGATATATAAACAATATACAAATATATAAAGGTCAATACTCAAAAATCTATTAGCGAAGTGAACAGAGGAGTTGACACAATCTATCTGCCAACTGTCACCTTCTCCACTGTAGTCATCTTCCTAGCATGTAAACCTGATCTCATTGCTCCTGTGCTGAAAACTTTCCATTCATCTCCCCTGCGGAGGAGAGAGTCTCTTTCTCCATCTGCCTCTCCAGCCCTATATCGTACCAATCTCCACCTTCCTCCATTTCAAGCCTCTTTCTGCCATTTCCTCCTATGCCTGTGTGTCTGTCTCAGGGCAGGGATTTGCCCTGCACTTCTCCAGTGTAGCACATTGTAATTAATACTCGTTCATTTCCCGTAAGTGTCCGAAGCCATCCTGTGTGTTGTCTGCAACCCAGCCTTGCGTCTGGATACGGCATTTATGTTGGTGACTGGTTTTACCAGTTGTTGAATTAGAGGAATCACAGATAGCAAATTAATTATATGGAAAATACAAAGGCTCACAAATAAACTAAGGCATATAACTTCGAGCAATTAAAAAAGAAAGGCAATGTTGAAGTTCTATTTTAGGAAATGGTAGACTATATTGGACAAACCTGCCCGCTGTGAATAATCGTGGAAGCTGTACGAAACATTAAAATTATTTGTTGAAGGTGCTGAAGAGTTACTGAGTCTGTGAGCATTTTCAGAGCCAGAATGTGAACAGCCTTGATGGTGCAGACTCCTGCAGCGCTCCTACAAGGCCCATTCCACCGCCACCCGCGAGTACATCAGCACTGAGATATGGGTGACATCAGCTCCCTGTATTCTCAACAAGCCTGTATCATTTACTTTCACTTGAAATTTTAAAAATAACTTTTAACCCATTTTAAAAGAAGCCAGTTCCTTGACAGCATTAGCAGCAAAACCTGTGTGAGGTTCAGTGACCTAGAATCCAGCCACATTAGGATCTTTCAATATCCAAGCTGTGCTTTCTCTCCTCTGGTAATGAGAAGCAGCAAATAACCACAAAAGCTGATAGCTGGAAGTTTGTAATTAATGAAAGGAATGAGAGAGGAAAAGAAAAAAGAGAGAAAAAAAGAATTCTGTCATTACTATATAGGCAGTAGGAAAAAAGTAAAATAAATAAACCAAAACAAAGCTCGATATTCTGAGATTAGTACAAACTCAGCGAACAGAACTTCAATACTATATGAAAACTGACTCTAGGGTTTTATGTTTCTTCATTATCAGAATAAATTCTTTAATAAATAAGAAGTGTGTGGGCAGCATCTGTGGTTCAGTGAGTAGGGTGCTGGCCCCATATACTGCGAGTAGCAGGTTCAAACCCGGCCCCAGCCAAATTGCAACAAAAAATAGCCAGGTGTTGTGGCAGGCACCTGTAGTCTCAGCTACTCGGGAGGCTGAGGCAGGAGAATCGCCTAAGCCCAAAAGCTGGAGGTTGCTGTGAGCTGTCTACCGAGGGAGACAAAGTCAGACTTTGTCTCAAACAAAACAAAACAAAAAAACAAATAAGAAGTGTGATACATATGAAGTTCATGAAAAGAACTAGATTGGACTTATTAAGGAAAGAAAGAACATGGTACACAGATTGGAAGGTCTTTACCACAATTTATATGCCAGAATACATTCTAGATGGATTAAAAATTTAAACCAAGGCCGGGAGCGGTGGCTCATGCCTGCAATCCTAGCACTCTGAGAGTCAAGGCAGGTGAATTGCTTGAGCTTAGGAGTTTGAAATCAGCTTGAGCAAGAGCGAGACTAAAAACAGAAAAATTAGGGCGGTGCCTGTGGCTCAAAGGAGTAGGGCACCAGCCCCATATACCGGAGGTGGCGGGTTCAAACCTGGCCCCAGCCAAAAATTGCAAAAAGAAAAATTACCCAGACATCGTGGTAGGCACATGTAGTTCCAGCTACTGGGGAGGCTAAGGCAAGAGGATCATTTGAACCCAGGAGTTTAAGGTTGTTGCCAGCTAGGCTGATGGCAGAGCACTCTAGCCTGGGGCAACAGAGTGAGTCTCTGCCTCCAAAAAGGAAAAATGTTAAACCAAAAAGATTTTCAACTCCAAGGGCTGAAATGAAAACAGCTGGACCATTTATCATCTGTTACTTGACTCAAGATATCCAATTGTTCAGAAAACCTTGGCCGTTCAGGGAAATGGGATTTAGCTGCACTCTGGGTAAAAGGTCAGGGCTCCAGGAAATCGAACCTAAACCCAAGCGCATCCCAAGCAGTGAACAGCCTAGGGCCTGAGTGGATTCTGGGGCAAGGCTGAGCCAGCAGGATGGGAAGGGTAGGCAGCAGTGTGGTCTAGGCATGCTGCCACCTTGGTGACCCAGCTATCATCTGCTCTTGGTCAGGTTTCCATCCTTACCCTGGGGACGGGAAGAGCCGGGGATCTACACGAGGCCGCAACTTTGCCAGTTCTTCGGTTGCGGAGTCCACCACCCTCGGCAAGGCAGTTGACCTGACTGAGGCAATGGATGACACTGAATCTGCCGTATCAGCTAACTCAGACTCCACAGACTCCTCAGACTCTATTGTGAACTCTTCAGAAAATTCCTCTGCAGTAAATAATTCTGTGCAGGAAGAGGGACTGACAATCTGCAGGGAAGACACAGAAACATGTCCGGGGCTGGGAATCTCTCTCTGCACAGCTGTCGACATCTGGCTGAGTCTAAAGCATCAACAAACACACCAATTTAGAAGTTGGGAAGGTTTTATTTTATTATTGCTTTTTTAGTTATGTATTTTATTTTCACTCTTTTGCCCTGAGTAGAGTGCCGTGGGGTCATAGCTCACAGCAACCTCGAATTCTCGGGCTTAAGAGATCTCTTGCTTCAGTCTCCCAAGTAGCTGGGACTATAGGCACCAGCCACAACACCCAGCTAGTTTTTCTATTTTTTTAGTAGAGATGGGGGTCTCACTCAGGCTGATCTTGAACTCCTGAGCTCAAGCAATCCAAATGCCTTGGCCTTCCAGAGTGCTAGGATTACAGGTGTGAGCCACCACTCCCAGCCTGGAAGGTTATTTTGTTTTTTTCTTTTTGAGACAGAATCTCACTTTGGTGCCCTAGGCAGAGTGCTGTGGTGTCACAGCTCACAGCAACCTCAAACTCTTGGGTTCAAGTGATTATTTTGCCTCAGCCTCTTGAGTAGCTGGGACTACAGGTGCCCGCCACAATGCTTGGCATTTTTTTTTACAGATGGGGTCTCGCTCTTGCTCAGGCTGGTCTTGAACTCCTGAGCCAAGCAATCCACCTGCCTTGGCCTCCCAGAGTGCCAGGATTACAGGTGTGAGCCACTGCACTCAGCATTTATTTTATTTCTTAAAGCCAGTCTAAGGCCAGGCTCAGTGGTTCACACCTATAATCCTAACACTCTTGGAGATGGGTGGATTGCTTGAGCTCAGGAGTTCAAGACCAGCCTGAACAAGAGTTAAAACCCCTACTCAAAAAACACACCAAAAAATTAGCCAACTGTTGAGGTGGGCATTTGTAGTCCCAGCTATTTGGGAGGCTGAAGCAGAAGGAGCACTTAAACCCAGAAGTTTTACATTGCTGTGAGCTATGATACTACAGCACTCTATCCTGGGCAACAGAGTGAGATTCTGTCCCAAATAATAAATAAATAAAGCCAGTCTTGTTTTTCCTGAAAGCTTTACATGATGAGTGAAAACAACAGCAATAACAACTGTGTGAGAATGGCAGGCAGGTGTCATCACGTTTCTTCCAGTCGGGTGGTTTTCTTCTGAAGTGGAAGGAGTGGGAGAAGCTGTAGAAATTGCAGAATGGGGCTGGGAGCGAGGGGCCCCATGATGAAATTCTGGGCTGCTCCCTTGTTAGGCCCAGATTTCAAGGGGACAGAGAGAATGTGCACCGTTGAGAATTACTTCAGCTGCAAGTAGGGGGCTGATTGAAGCCAGCACCCTGCTCAGAGTAAGGGCATAAATCAGCTCTACATCAAAGATTTCCTGGCCCCAGGCAGCAGTTCTGCCCACATGGGAGACCTAGTGGAACCCTGCAGGGAGCCCTCCCGTGTCCCGGGGCAGCCTGGGCGCACCTCGGCCAGCACACCCTTGTAGTCGTTCTCTTCTTCGCGTTCCTCATCTTCCACGAAATCGTAGGTCACGTAATAGCTGTAGGTGACAAAGGGGCCTTCTGGTCCAGGCTCCAGGTCTAAGATAGAGGTATCCAGAACCCCTCTGACATTTCCAATAGTCACCACAAGCTGTGCCTCATGTGCCAAGAAATCTGCAAGGTGGAAGGGGCAGGACTGAGGGGCCCGTGAAAGCGGAAGAGGACACCCAGACAGCGGGAAGGAGGGAAAGTCACCAGTCCCAGCTCTCCCCCTACACAAGGCTGAGCCTTGGAGCATGGCAGACTTGGGTTCATGTCCCAGCTCTGCCAAGTTCAACTGGAGTGATGTGGGGTAAGTCGTTACATCCCACTTAGCCTAGTTTTCCCAATCTGTACAATGGCAGTGATGACCCCTGTATTGCAGATAATGGCCACAAAGAGGGCTGAAGATCAAGACTCTACATCATCTCAGGCCGTGCCCAGAAGACAGCAGGTGTAGAGACTGTCAACATTTTATCTCCATGACCTTGAGGGCTCCAACGCACCTTGTGACATGGGCCACAAGGGGGTGATCTTTAGCCATCAGGGAAGAGAAAAAAACCTGCCACCCGTCCCCCCCAGCCCCCACATTTTGTCTCCAACTCCCAATCACAGGGATAAAAACCTGGGGGGGGGGATTCTGACCCAGAAAAGATGCTGTATCTGACTGGAGTGTGGGTCAAATGGGGAGCTTCAAGGACAGAGAGGCACAAGGACCCAGGAGGGTGTGGGATAGGCAGAGGCTGGGGCATCCCATGCCACCTCCTCCCTACACACTGTTGGCACCCTCACCACCATGGAGGCTGAACCCCCGGAACTGATGCTTCTCATTTGGAGACACGGTGACATCATCTAGCACACAGAGCCTGGACAGGTTATCAATGGTGAAGCCGCGGTAGTAGGGCACCAGGGCCAGCGGGTTCCCCTGCAGCACCAGCAGCCGCAGATGTTTGAGCGTCCTGAGACTGGCCAGCATGCCCTGCAGGTCCATCAGGTCATTAAAGCTCAGGTCCAGAGAGACAAGTTTGGGCCTGGAAGGTGAGCAGGACCATCTAGGGTCAAGATGCCAGGTAAGCGAGGGGGTGGCAGCCCTGTGCACAGGACAGCCAGAGCCTGAGGCTAGCAACTCTATCTATCCTCAGCCCACACACCTCGTCCCACCTTGGATCCAACTCAACCCAGAGTTGGGAAGGACTTCCTGTATTCCTATAAAACTGCCACTCTCATAGTCTGAGCCACAGGGAGGCAGTGGCAAGGTGCCTGTGCCTGGAAGGGTCTCCACAAACACATTCTGAGAGCTGGGAGAGCAAGGCCAGGGGGAGGAATGGGGCTACATGGAGATGAGGAGGGTGCATGCAGCTACGGGGCCACATGACCACAGGACACTCGATCCCTGCCTGGTGACGGGGCGGGGAAAGGAGACCAAGGCTCAGGACGGGCAGAGTGTGCTTTCCCACTTTCGCACAGCAGAAAGCAAACTGATGACAGCTCTGAGAACAGACGCAAGGAAAACTCCAGGGAATGCCTGTCAGCACCATCTTTCTCAATTGTGCCAGCCAGTTTCCCACAGCTGAACTCAGGCCCCTCAACTCTCTGTTCCCCCAGAACAGAAGGTAAGGGAGGGGCAAAGAAAACTGCGGTCAGAGAGGGACCTTCCCTTCCCTACCAGGTCTTCACCCGTTAGGAGCTGGTAGGGTTGGACCACCCAAGGTTGTATCTCTCAGGTCCCCTGGATAAGAAGCGGAGGAGCTTGATCTACCCCTTCTGCCCCTGCCCAGCTGTGAAGGAGGAAACATGGTGCTGCTGAGATCCCAGGACTTTTCACCGTGAGCTATGTGAAGCCTTCCTGCCCCAGCTTCCTCTGATGGCCTTCCATGGTGGCCTCTGATGCCTCACACTTCGCAGACCCAGGATCTTAAGTTTTCTACTGCTCCCCCAGCAAGGAGACAATGTCAAGCATCACCAACTGGAAGGTGACTGTCCACACAACTTCTAACAGACACTGAATCTTCAATCACAATGGAGTATCTGATTTTTTTTTTTTTTTTGAGACAGTCTCACTCTGTCGCCCTGGGTTGAGTGCCATGGCATGCAAACTCTCAGGTTCAAGGGATCCTCTTATCTCAGTCTCCTGAGTAGCTGGGACTAGAGGCACCTACTATGATGCCTAGCTAGCTTTTTCTGTTTTTAGTAGAGACAGCGTCTTGCTCTTACTCAGGCTGGTCTTGAACTCCTGAGCTTAAGCAATCCTCCCACCTTGGCCTCCCAGAGTGTGAGCCATTATGCCTACTGGAGCATCCTAATTAAACTGGAGTTTCATCTCTAGGGCAGGGGTTCTCAATTCAGGGTGATTTGCCTCTCATGGGACCTTCAATACCACCTGAGGACATTTTTGTCACAACTAGTGGGGAGCTGCTACTGGCATCTATTGGGCAGGGGCCAGAGATGCTGCTCACAGTCCTACAGAGCACAGGACAGTCCCCACAGGGGGACGGTCAGGCCTCAAGGTCAGCAGAGCCCACATCCAAAGTCTGCTCTAAGGAGTCAGACTTACTCCCACTACCTTGTGGGATCCTTCTTGGCGCTTCAGTGGGATATTTTTTATATCAGGTTAGAGAAATAAGCTCCAGGTCTGGAGCTGATAGCCAACAGGGAGTTAAAGAAAAGAGCAAAGCTGAGTTCTTCACACCATCAGTGCAGAATCCCCCAAACCTAACGCAGAATCCCCCCCCCCTCCCTTTGGAGAGTTACCAGTGACTGGAGGAGAGGTACAGACTTTCCAGAGGGCCCTGGAGTTTGTTGTGGCCCAACCCCAAGTGCTGGAGACCCGGCGGGGGCGGGTGAGCGCACAGACCCTCCAAGCTGCAGATCTCATTGCCGTAGAGCTCCAGCACCTGGAGGGGACACAGGAGACATCCACGACTGTGAGGCGCCAAGTCAGTGCTGCCCATTAGGTGCCTTCCTCCTGCCCTGGGAAACTCACAAGAGGAATCATAAATTAGTCATGCCCTGCCCCCTTGGGTCCATTGGGACTGCCAAGAAGAAATGTTCCTGCAGCAGGTCTTTGGAAGTTTTTTGAACTTTTGTGAAAGAACCTTCAAATTTTGGAAAGGAGGTGATGGTGGAGTGGGTGGGAGGGGACATGCGCAACACATTGGCACCTTCTCAACTCATGGGAATGTGTCTCTGCGAGAGCCAAAAGGGACCCTAGATGGAATAGGGAATAAACCCAAAGATGACTGAGAATTCTCTTCCTTGCTCATAGCTCTCATCCAAGGCCTCCTGGTTTTGTCTTGAGCCATGGCATACAGCTTGCTTGGGAGTCCTTCCTGCCACTAGTTAACCATTCTCATTTAATGTAATTTGAAGATCATTTTGATATGCTCAGCTAAAGACCAATAAAACCTGGCCTGCATTTCTACTGGGATAAAATTTGCCACTTTAACCATTTTTAGGTGCACAATTCAGTGGCATTAATTACATTCATAACATCACACCACTGTCATCACAACGTCCAGAATTTTTCATTGCCCCAGACAGAAACTATGATCATTAAGCAATAACTCCCCATTGCCCCTTTCTCCCTCCCCAGTAACCTCTATTACTTTCTGTCTGTAGAATCTCTGGATCTGCCTCTTCTAGATGTTTCTTGTGAGTGGAATCATACAATATTTGCCCTTTTGTGTCTGGCTTTTTTCACTCAGCATATTTTCAAGGTTCATCCATGTTATAGCATTCATTAACACTTCCTATTTATGAATGAAAAATATTCCATTGTCTGGAAATACTACATTTTGTTGTTGTTTATTCATCTGTTTCCAGACACTTGGGTCATTATGGCCTTTGGCTGTGAATATTGGTGTATAAGGATCTGTTTGAGTCCTTATCTTCAGTTCTTTTGGATATGTAAAAAGGAATGGAATTGCTGGGTCGTATGGTGAGTCTGTGTCTAACTTTTTGAGGATTGAGTCCTATTTAAAGACCCTGGATCTGGGCGGTAGCACACAGCTGCCCTGGCCAAATGTGTGTAGGCAGGTTGTTAGAGGGAGCCCTAGCTCAAAGATCCTAAGTTGACCCAGGACTCCTTCACCTTGAGTGTTGGAGGCAGATTGGCAGCATTGATCTCCTTGATTCGATTGGCACTCAGTATCAAATCTTCCAGCTTTAGAAATTTTAGGAGGTCTTTATCCACCTGGCTCACCTGGAAAAGAAGGGAAAGAAACCAAAGCCCTAGTGGGCAAGGCAGCACTGGAGCAGAAAGCAAGTCTACATTAGGAAAACAACAGCTCTCCACTCAGAGTCAACTCCCAACACCTCCTTCCCCCGTCTTTCCTGGATCATTCTGCCAGGATTCAATGGCCTCTTCCAACCCTCACCCTTCCTCTGACTGTCAGTGGTGTCTGATTTCCAGGCCAATATCCTGTGCCCTATGTTGGACCTTAAGCCTTTTGCAAGGGCAGTCTTCTTTGCTGCCTCTCCCAGAGCCTTAGTGGACTCCAGGACTGAATCACTAGCTGGCACTGAAGTCAGTTAAGATCTTTAGGAATCAGCCTGGTTTACACAGAGTAGGGTCAGACCAGAAGCTTTAGTGACCACCCATGAATCCTCAGTTTTTTGTGGCCTTGAAGACATCAGGGGCCCTTCCTAGCTGGGCCTCTATTCTCTAGGATGACAAACTGCACTAGAGGGGGTTGCTGGGAGATAAATTTTTTTTTTTTTT